CTGCCGATCGCACCCTGCCGCACTCAAAAAAAAAAAAAAAAAAAGCTGCACAGCGTAGTCGAACACCACCCTTAGATCCAAGTCTCAAGCGCGCACTATAGCCGGTACCACTATGACCCCTTGCTCAAAACTGCAAATACCGCATCGTCCGACCGGCGGCACGTCCCCCCCCAAAAAAAAACCTCCCCGCCGTCAAACGGCCAACATTCTTCCACCAAAAAACGCTACCGCCGCCGCACCGTCAAAACGGCAGCACCTCCGCTCCAGAATTTAGTACCGCCAACGTGTCGAGATTTCGGCAGCATAACCCCACCGCAAATGATGGCTGCCGGCGCACCAAAATTCAGTCGGCATAACCCCCTTAAGAGGTAATCCCAATCTGTCAAACTTTTGGTAGCATCACCCCCTTCAATAGGTTGCGTCGCAAAATCCAAAAAGGGCTGAGAAAGGTATGCGCAGAAAGGTTTGCCCGAGCGCTGGACTTTCTCTTGTTTGGCAAATAGGTGTTCAGAGTTTGCCTGTGAAAGGTAGTGGGGGCTTAAAGCAGTTCACACCAGCCTAAGGGCATATTCACACTAGGACCTTTTAACTTATTTTCTAGGCAGCATCTAGGTCAAGCCGACGGTCAGATACACTGAGAAAATAGGTCCTGCAGTACGCCCGAAGTTGATGAAGCTACCTTCCAAGGCTCACGAGCCCTCAAGGCTGCAACTGCCCCCTATGAAAGTGGGCTGTCCCATTCACGACTGGCCCAGGCCCCAATTTAAAGCTCTTACCACGTGACCCGTTTTCCCACAGGTGATGATCCCCGCCAATAGATGGAGCTAGTGGGAAACTGCAACTGCCCCCGTATGAAAGTGGGCTGCCCCATTCAATACTGGCCCAGGCCCACTTGATGAGGATGGCATTGCGCTGATCTTCTCTTTATTGTGGGAACGTGCAACAGAGTTTGGTGTGAAAAGAAAAAAAGAGTACTCTGCTTTGAGTGAACTGGCTGGAGGTGGCTTATGACTGACTGGGATACAAATGTGACTGTTGATAACCAGATCAAGAGTTCAAATCCTGCTCGAGGCCACAGGGATAGCCTTATTGCATGGTAGAAAAAAGCTGCGTAGCATCTAGCATCACGTTCGAGCTCAGTGACTGAACCCGAACACTCGGTACTGAGCTTGAATGTGACCCATAGTTGACCGAGCCCGAACTCTTTTTTTTTTTTTTTTTTTTTTAGGCCCCGTTTTTTGGGGACTACCGGTCGCACGCCGGTGGGTACCCCGCGCGAACGGCCGCGTCAATTTCCTCAAGCAGGGAGAGGTACTGGTGGTTTTAAAAAAGAAGAACGGAGGACATTTCACATTGAGCGTCTGCCGGGGGAACGGGATGAAGGTGACCGGGCCCGAACCTTTTTTTTTTTTTTTTAATTTGGACCATTTCTCGATTTATGCGTGTCATCCTTGCGCAGGGGCCATGCTAATCTTCTCTGTATCGTTCCAATTTTAACGGATGTCCCGGAGGACAGACCGGGCCCGAACCTATGACCTTCAAGGACCTAATACTCCGAAATCAAATAGGGGGGTATTGTACCGAAAGCATAGTGCAAAGGAAGAGCAAGGAGGGGCAGTTGAGGGAGATGT